CACTGCCAGCGGAGCCAGGGAGGAAAGAGAACACTCTCCAAATTGTCTTCCAGGGTTTCCGTGAGCATTTTATTAACTCAGAATCTGTCAGGAATAATACTAGGGAGTTACCTTTCCCTGAAGATGGCTCTTGTCAGAGTAGTGAGATAGGCATGGGGGGAGGGGGGAGGAAGAGGAATGTGAGGCTCAGTTTATACATATTAAGATCAGCAATGGTGTGCCGCTGGCAGGAGCAGAGCGAGCCTGGAGATTTGGGTGGCTGCAGTTGGTAAGTGGTTGCATTCCAGAGTGGGACTGAGATCTTCCCTTGTCATGTTAGCATCCCGTTTCCTGGGCGTGGCTCTGACATCCTGCAGGTGGTCATTTCACTCACGGAGGCTTTGTCTCTCTTCTATCACCCCAGACTCAGCTTCACACTCCAGGGCTGAACACCACCAGCCACCGCCATGTTAACCCCTTCCCAGGTCAATGTATCCCTCACCTGGAGCCCAATCTGCTGGACAGCCTGGGACCGTCCATTTTCAGGGTGGTGGGCAACCTGGTGGCCATCGTGCTGCTGTGCAAGTCGAGCGAGGAGCAGAAGGAGACCGCCTTCTACACACTGGTATGCGGCTGGCCACCAACGACCTGTTGTTCACTTTGCTGGTGAGCCAGGTGACCATCGCCACATACATGAAGGGCGGGTGACCTGGGGCCAGCCCCTGTGCCAGTACAGCATCTTCATCCTGCTCTTCTTCAGCCAGCCCGGCCTCAGCATCATCTGCACCCTGATATCTATACAGGTAATTTGTGTTCGACATTCTCAGAGGAGTTTCATAAGCTTTATGTTTTATCTGGGTTATAAACAAAGAGTCCTCAAATGCGTGAAAAAGAAATCATACCAGGATTGAATTTCAGCAGGAATAAGTTTATTTTACCTATTCAAAATTAAAATACTTTTGTTTTGTTTGAAAATGTTTTTGTTAAAGATACGTTTTTGAAAAAAATTTAGGTAAATATTTAATAATGTCCCCTTTTCTATCCCAAGAAGTAATTTCATAGTTTATTTAAATTTTTTAACAAAAATGTAGCATAGATTTTTTTAAAGAAATAATTGCATATTTTAACTCAATAAATCCAAAATACCGTGGCAACATGTAATCAATGTAAAAATTACTAGAGATAGTTTGCATTCTTTTTTCTTATGAAATCTTTGAAATCCATTGTGTATTTTACACCTTAGTACGTCTCAACTCAAATGTGAAATTTTCATCGAGAATATCTGAACTGTATTTAGATTAATAAAAACTGCAGTTAAAAAATTTAACATAGATTTAGTATGGGGCGTGCAGCCAGCTTGCAAATCAGATCACGGCTGAGCGGCCAGGCAGCCAACCCCCGAGGAGCGGCCTGCTGGCTCCGCAGTGCCCAGAATTTGAGGATGTCCTACAAACCCATCACGCCTGCCCCCAGCAGCACCCCCGGCTCCAGCACCCCTGGGCTGGGCACCCCGGTCCCCACAGGAAGTGTCCTGTCGCCGTCGGGTTCAGTGCCAGGAGCCGCTGTCCCTTTCAGACCGCTGTTTAACGACTTTGGACCACCTTCCATAGGCTGTGTGCAGGCCATGAAACCACCTGGCACCCAGGGCTGCCAGAGCACTCACACGGAACTGCTGTCGGTCACAGGGCAGATGGGCAAAGGGATCCGGACCACCTTCGCTGGCAGCAAGAGCACCACGGAGCGCCTGAAGAGAGAGGTCATCCATCCCTAGTCAGAATGCCTGGCGGAGACAGAGCGGAACCCACACACTTAACAGGAAGCTCCTAAGCCTCTGTGTCTGGACTTTTCCCGGCCACTCCAGAGCACCTGCTTCTCCCTGGCCCTCATCCCTAGTTGCACTAACCATCCTGCGCTTCCTGTCCTGTGTCCCTTGATGGTGCCCTCCAGGAACCAAGGGGCGACTCTCACTCCAGGTGGCAGCACTAACGATCCTCCCTTCCCCCCACCCCACCCAGCCAACGCAACAAGAGTTAGCAGCGAGGTCCCCGTGAGTCCCACCCATGACCTGCTGACAGTGTTGCCCAGTGGAACTTTCTGCGGCCCCCACCACT